GGGTTTTAGAGTTTTAGGGTTTTAGAGTTTTAGGGTTTTAGAGTTTTAGGGTTCTTGAGTTTTAGGGTTTTAGGGTTTGGAGTTTTAGGTTTTTGAGCTTTAGGGTTTTAGATAGGGTTTTAGGCTTTAGAGTTTTTGGGCTGAGGCTTTGGGGCTGATTTTCGATTGTTTCGGAGCCAAGTTTGAGAGCTTTTCATTCGAGGCACATCCACAAGCATGGCCGGTTGTTTCAAGTTGGTGGCCTCCTGTTCTGTGTCATTGAGGAAAGGTCATTTTCTCTTTCTTCTCGATGATCTGATGGTCGCTGTTCTAGCAACACAAGCAATATGTGTGGGCCAGCTATTTAGGAAACGCAAATGGACTGAAAGAGACACTGCACAGTCTAAGATGCAGGCCTTCGCATGGACACTGGCCAAGAAGCAAACCACAGGACCTGCACCGTCTCATCGCAGAAGAAACTCTGCTGGTTAATTTGAAGATCAACATGTGATGTGTGCTCGTACACACTTCCTGCCAACAGCACAAGTCCGATCATTCGAGTGGCAGTGCTTCGTCAAGATAGCTTCGGCTGACTACATCCTTCCTCGCCAGGATGCGGCACATGTGGAGTGATTCTCAGCTTTTGCCGGAGGGTGGCTTCGTTGGGGGCTGGCTGGCTGTTCAAGGTTCGTGCATCAGGTCCGTTGTTATACCCTAAGTTATAGCCTTCTCATCTCCTGGGATACAGAACGGCTCTGTCAGCGGGGCACATCTTTTGCGATCGTCGCTGGTTTTTTTCATCTACCTGCAGATAGCCCAGTGCTGATGCTACATGTTGGAAGAGAACAGTTCGTGTCCACATGCTTCAGCCAGCTGTCTTGAATAACACCTCCCAAGCAGCTGTTTGCGGACAATGCCATGTGCCAGAACAGCAGCTACACGGCCTTCACCACAACCATCACCAAAAATCTACCAGGAACGGCAGCACGAGCAGCAGCATCCACACCAAGACACAGACACATGCCATGTACCAGAAGTAACTTCAGGGAATCAAGCCTAACAGATGCAAACTACTTTGGAGTCTGTGGCCCGGTCACTGATGCATTACACCCAGAACACTACCTACACCCCCACCAAATAAGAAGGCCTAAGACCTAAAGACACACGCTCGTCAAATAATACGAAACCCCTTTCGACCTTCAGACAGGCCTAGCTCGGACAGTGAGGAAATCCGGACCCTTTCCCAGGCCTTGTGCTGTGTTTTTCCGGCTGCCGTGAATGCTTGGGCGGGACAGGCCTGGCGTCTGCATTTTTTTGGGCTCCTATATGTAGGGAGGAGGGCTGTGGCTTTCTATATTTGCAACGGCTTCTCACTTGATTTGGTGCTCATGGATGCTACAGATGTGCGTAGCGAATTTATTGACTCACCACGAGTTGTAGTAGAGTGGATTGCAGTGAATATAGGGTGATGCAGGGATTGGCTTAAGGTCTAGGCTGTCTTCGAGGGAGTTGCGTAGAAGACTTCGGTAACCGAGATAGATTCGCTTTCGACAAGGCTACAGATGTGCGTGGTTGAGTCTGATGAAAAAGCACTAGTTATAATAAAGTGGGCTGCAGTGAGTATGGGATAATGGAGGGTCTGGCTTAAGGTCTAGGGTGTATTCAAGGGAATTCCTAGAGGGCCTCTTCGGTAACCGAGATGGTTTGGCTTCCGACAAGTACGGGAATTGAACAAGCAGGGTTGAACAAGCAGAAGGAGAGGGGAGTTCGCTGAGGGTCCGGGGAGTTCGCCGAGGTTGCTTGGGAGTGCTCTCAGGGGCCAAGGGAGTCCTCTCGGGGGCTTGGGGAGTCCTCTCAAGGGCTGTGGGAGCGCGCCTACCGATCAGTAAGCGCACTCTCCTTCTTGTTTCGGTTGCCCCGAGGATGGATTTTCGAGGGTTTCGGGGCTTGGTTTTCATAAATTAAGAAGACTGCTAGTGCTTCGGAGGGTGCTCATAGTCGTAGCCTTCCACAGACTATCAGAGCAGTAAGGCTAAGGGCACTCTCCTTCTTTTGGTTGCCATTCGGAGGGATTTCTCAGGGTTCCGAGGTTGGGTTTTCATAATTCCAGAAGGTTGCTAGGGCTTCGGAATGAACTCATTTACATAGCTTTCCAGAGACTTTCAGATCAGCAAAGCTGAAGACACTCTTCTTCTGGTTGCCATCCGGAGGGATTTCTGAGGGTTTCGAGTTTCGAGGTTGGGTTTTCAGAATTCCAGAAGATTGCTAGGGCTTCGGAATGAACTCATTTACATAGCCTTCCAGAGTCTTTCAGATCAGCCAGGCTAAAGCCACTCTTCTTCTGGTTGCCCCCTGGAGGGATTTCTGAGGGTTGCAGGGTTGGGTTTCAGTAATTCAGGACTGAACTCAGTCATAATAGCCTTCCAGAGACTTTCAGACCAGGCTAAAGGCACTCTTCTTCTTTTTTTTGGTTGCCATTCGGAGGGATTCCTGAGGGTTCTAGGGTTGGGTTTTCCGAAGTTCAGGAGTGAGCTCATAGTCATAGCCTTCCAGAGACTTTCGGGTTGTGTTGTTCCGCATGCGTTGGCATTGCATCACCCATCGTCCTTAAATTGAAGTGATACTCAGCTGCACTACCTGTTTGGGTGGGTGTTGTAAACGGTATGAGCCCAAACCCTTAACCCTAGGGCTTCTACCCCAAGTCTCAACGATGATTCAGATGCGACTTCCGGCATAAGCATCGTGTTGACATTCGATGGCCAAACAAATATCGCATGAACTACTTTTCCCTGATGCAGCCAATTGTTGTCTTGGCCGGTTGTTGCAATCTGACTGACTGAAGAGGAAGCGATTATTGGGTTCCAGACCCAATTTACCGGAACCGGAAAAGACCAACATTTCACTGACAAGCACACATGCATGCATGGTGGCGCGATCTGAGATCTCATGGTGAAGGACCACTTACGTAGGGCCTATCTCGGGCTCTAATTCTTGCGATGTTTTCTTGCATGGTGGCGCTTGCTTGAGGTCATACGACATATGGCGAAAGTTTGATATGGTTGGCCTGTAGTCTTCCTTCGAATTGTCAACCCTTGTCGTTTCACAAGTTTGACAGTGCCGTGCGAACTGCATTTGACTTGCGCGTCACGAATCACACAGACAGCCTGTCTCTTATCTTGAGTTATCATCCGCATGACATGTGTCCTGGCATGATAACGATAGAATTCGCACACAGGTGTGTCAAGCTCCTGAAAAGGTCACAATCCGTCTGCGAAGCCTGAAAGTGGAAAACATGGGCGAAATGTTGCAGCCGTCTTCGTCATGCATGATCTTGGATTTCCCGAACTTCTCTTGTCTTTCTCTTGGATATTCTGAAGCTGCACTCGTAAGCCTGCGGTTTACAAGACACAACAGATGTGCCACAGGAATCGCAACGATAACACAGTACGGCATCACTCATGTTCGGGATGGAGAACTAGCTTTTGTCAAATTGTTCATGTCAGAACGCTGCTGCGAAATACTGGCATTTAGAGCTAGGATGAGGACTTCTGTTGAGGATTTCTGTTTCTTTCTCTAGTTCTCTCCATGGAGGGTGAGAGAGAGAGAGAGAGAGAGAGAGAGAGAGAGAGAGAGAGAGAGCTAGGATGAGGACTTCTGTTGAGGATTTCTGTTTCTTTCTCTAGTTCTCTCCATGAGAGAGAGAGAGAGAGAGAGAGAGAGAGAGAGAGAATAATATACGTATGTGTATATGTATAGACTGTCTCAGTCAGAGCCAGAGTCAGAGTCAGAGAGATCGCGAGAGGAACAACTGTAGGGTTTATAATGGAAGATGCGATTTTCGGCGCTGAGTGAAATCTTGGGTTAAGCCATGAGCTTTTCTTCCTGTCATGAAGCCAGGTTGCTTCTGCCTGGACTGGGTCAGCAGAAAGGCCCGGCCTTCTCACTTGTTCACCACTGTCGGAGCATGTGCACTGCTGTGCTTGAGTACATTGGATGGCTCGTCTCATGCATCGGCTTATAGCGGGGATGGCTCGTCTCATGCATCGGTTTATAGCAGGATCAAGAAGCCTCAACAACAGTCCGCAGACTCGTGCGATGTCTGAATGCCAAGATGGCAGTGGCTCTGGCTCCGGCTCTGATGATTCTGAGGTCCGTGTCATTTTGAATCTGCTTCTTGGCATAATTCGTCATGCAGACTTGCTTTCAATGACTAAGCGGCTCGTCCGTATGAGTCTGACATCACCCAGGCCGGAGTATCCTCTACCGCAATCGGCGGCGGATATTTCGACTCTTGATTCTAAGATGATGCTTTTGGTTCTCATGTCTACAGCAGTCTGTAGTTGTAGGGTTGGAATTGACGGGAGTCTGTCGAGGGCATGGGCCTTTGTGCTCCTGGAGCGAGCAGCTTTGGTCTTTGGTGCAGGCTATGTCAAAGAGAGGCTTGGCAGCTCGGCCTTGGTTTGTGTTCGGAGTTCGCTGAAGTTTTGTGTGTTCCTTCCTGGGGCTTCTGGGTTTGTCCGAGGATCCGTGAAATGGTCCTGCTACGACTTGTTCGCCGGAGTGCAGTGTGCCCGGAAGGCGGCGGAGTTCATTCAGGCAGCTGCAATGGAAAAATGGGGCATTCAGATGGATATTTCATTTAGGTTCATGGCCCCTCGGCCCATGCCATCTCTGACAAAGAAGTATTTCCCATCTGTGCTCGTGATGGAGTAAAACGAAAAACAGAGCCATGTCATTTTCTCAGGTTGAAAGAGACAGCCAATGTCTTCGGCTTGCCAAGAAGCTCTATCCGATGGATTGCAAGTACGGCGACATCATGTCTCTTTTCCAAGACTCCGGAAGAGGCAAAAAGGGAGATCCGAAGTTGCGCTTGCGGTCTTGTGCACAGTGTGTGCAGCATGAAAGGAAGTGCCAGACTCAGATTCTTTTGGCCGAGAGAGCTTAGTTTTCCTCCGTACAATCGCAAGAGACAGACAAGCGATTCCTAAAGCACAATCTTCAGGTGTCCTGTGAACGTGGACATGTGCGATGTGGCAGTCGTAACCGCACCTTGTGTTTCGTTTTCCCGGTTTCTCGGCAACACAAGCAAACCTGCTGCTGCTGCTCCGGAGTGTCTTCACTGTAGAGCGATCTGTGTTTTGTTCAGGTATGGCAAGCAGGAAGGCTTCGCGAATCGTGAGCAACGTGATGTGCACTGGGCTGCCCTCCAGCTTCAGCGAAAAACCCCAATCCACATTCATGAGAATGTGAACTCCTATGCCGAGGTGGGGGCTTCAGTACACAGCAAGTCCCAAACTCTAGTGTTATATATGTCTGTGGACAGGACTTCTTGACCTCCAATCTACCGGGATTCTCTATTGAAGCGGTCCAGCTGCCTATCTGCATTGAATAACATTGTGTTGAATTAGCTGATGAAGCTGTCATCCTCACTGAAGGCTGTCACCCAAGCTGTTCGGAATTCCCAATAACCGCGACCGCACGTACCGGATCTTGTATGACACTACAAAGAAGAGATGGGGTCAGGATCTTTCGCTGCAAGAGCTGGCAGATCTCATGCTTGCTGAGAGAGGGGTTCGTCTTCCGATCGACTACTCCTGCTGGGCTGTGGCAAACCCAAATGATATCAGAGCGGTCTATGGCATTGCTAACGTGGACAAGACCCACTTGACACCGTCCTTGGATAGCAATCGGTATCTGGGTTAGGTGATAGTCATGATGGTCAGCCGTTAAGACAGCCCAGGTTGCAGCAGAGGCATTTGCGCTTCTTCGAAGAAGATGCCCCAGATTCCACGGTGTATGACCTGTCTTGCAACAGCAAGAAGAGAAAAAGAGTGGAGAACAAGGACGGGTCTTTGCAGTGTCTGACTACAGGATGCCACTTTTGGTTGCCCGGTTGCAGTTGGTCCGACACCAAAAGTCAGCTCCTTGCAGTTTTGCTCTGAGAAGAATTGCATTTCTGAGGATGAAGGACAAGAAGAGGCTTCTGCTCGGCAAGGAAAAGCTCCACGTGCTGGGATATCCCTGCTGGGGTCCAGGAGCTCAGACAGCCAAGGTTGCAGCTCGGCTCGGGGATTATTTGTTGTCCACCTTTATGGCGCTGGATGCACAATTTGTCTGATCAGCCGGTCTTGAGGACCCTGTGGACATGAGTGATTTCTCTGAGAGCGCTCTCGACAAAATGGCTGGGAATGGGATGACATTGGCCTGCTGTGGTTTCGTTTGGCTTATGGCGGTACTTTGCCTGGAGGAGAAACTCTTAGCAAACATACGAGGTAACCTTGGCTTGAACGATTGTTCTTGGAATCGTTGCATCGCAGGACCGGCCACGGCAATCATGAATCTCCGGCCTCCGGCCGATGAGTGGATGTGATGTTTTGTTGTGGTCTGTGCATCTCGGGAGGCGAGCTGTACTTATTATTCCGTTGCTCACAGCATTGCCGAGAGAATCAAGCGATTCAATCTGCGAGAGCTCCTTCGTGTGGCAGCGGGGAAAGATTCAGTTCGACTCAATCCCTGGTTGCTCTTTCGTGGGTGTTGTTGTGTCGTGCACTGACACTTTTTCGAATGGGACGATGCGGGGGAACTCAAGCTTGCTGGTCAGTAAAGGTTCGGAAATGCTCCAACTGTAAAATCCTCGGCCCTAAACCCTTCACCCTAAAGTTTGAACCCGAAACCCTAGACCCTAAACCCTGAACCTCAAACCCTGACTCCTAAATCCCAAAGCCCTTAAGCATTAACTCTGAACCCTAAACCCTGAATCCTCAACCCTAAACCCTCAGCCCTAAACCACTGCATCCAGTCATTCATGCTTCTGAAAATCTTGCGACTTGTTCTTAGTCTAGTCCTGTCGATGGCATGAATGGCCCCTTTCGGTCGGGAGCCTGCGGAGAGAGTTCGGAAGAGAGACAACGGCCCAGCGTCGAGTTCGAGACCACTTGCTGCCAGTCGACCTTTTGGGCCAGAGCATCACGAAAAAAATGAATGTCGCGATGCCGAATCTGGAGGGTCGGGCTTAGGACATTCATCAGCCTCGAGGGATCACAGCAGAGACCGTCCTTTCGCTGCAGAACCTGGAGAGTCGGACGATGCCGGCTCCGACTTCATGCAGAGCAGCTGTGACTCTGCTGAGAGCTCAGAAGATGGGAACAAGGTCGTGCACAGCATGTCGCGTGTGTTCGAGATGGGATGGGAAGCCTTACACAAGTACGACTCGGCCACGGCATGGAGCAACATGAAGGGTCAACCTGCTCAAGAGGCCAAGCGTCCATACAACAACACCCGGCGTCAGCAAATGGCCAGAAAAACGAGGAGATCCGGTGTTTTGAAACAGAACGGGATGGATAAAGACAGAGTGCAGCGAGTTCTGAGCTGCCGTGTTTGCTACTGCAGCTTGCTTGACATCATAGCATGTTCCTCATCTTTCATGGATGATGTCGGATGTTGTCGGCAGTTGTGTGTTTGCTGCTGCAACATCTCAGGTGCACGCAAAGTATGTTTCAAAAGCTTCAAGCAGCAGCAACTGCTGAACTTCCTGGAAAAATTCTGGGGCATGAGCAAGATTGACCAAGATGGGTTCGCCTCTTTGCTGACTTAACACATAAACATGACAAGCGGTGAGACAGCTTAACTCTTGACTTTCCTTCTGTCAACTGTTGACTCTGAGTCTGAGTTGCTCAGATGCAATTGGCTTGTGGCAGCAGTGCGGCGAATCCGACGAAGTACATCCTATTGGGACAGGAAGTGGGCCGCAAATGTCTGAGCAAACTCTTGGGTGTGGGATCTCATCGTCTACAAAAGGTAGAGTCTGCAATCCCCGACCTCCGGCATGGCAAGCGTGCGTATCGCAGCCATCTGGAATCTTACTCGGTTGATGCGTTTTTGCAAAATGCCTATGATGCTATTGCAGAGACCTTGCCACACCAGTCCCTAAGCAGCAAATAGGTCGTGGTGCTTGCTCCGACGTTGTCCTCAGCAAATCTTGCAGCGGCCTTTAGTCTGATTCCTTTTGGAATGTATGGAGTTCATAATCTCTCATAGGACCTGTCAGTGGCTCTCAGAGCAAATGGCTCTTGCGAGGTATGTCCGTCGTGGTCGAGCTAGACCGAGAAGACCGGGCCGGTCAGACGACACAGAGGATGAGCTAAGCGATGCCGACCAAGAAATCGCCTCTGACATCGAGAACACAGAAGAGCTTGCCGAATGGATCGACAAGCCAGATGCGCCGATCTTGGCGGCCAGCAGCAGGAAGATTCGCAAGTATCTTCCTCCGGGGAATCTTGCAGAGTTGTTCCAGCACTATCGTGCAGCACAGACTTTGCTTGGACGGCCCGGGGTGGGGTGCCGATCTGAGTTTCGACTTACACCGCACAAACATATCACATTTTCACTCGGTCAGTCTGTGTCATGGTTGGTTTCATCTGAGAGGTACAAGACTTTCTGTCACATCTACTCCGCGGGATGGAAACCGATCCTTGCTTTCCGTGACAAGTCGTTGCTTCCTGTCGCAACTTTTTAACATTTTTGTGAGCTCGCTGTCACACATGTAATGTCCAGATCTGAGGTTCACGCAATGTGCTGTGTGCTATGCATATCAGCAGACACTGAAGGACAAGACTGCTGATATGAGCACCAAGTTGGCTGCAGTGTCTGGTTTGCGAAGTCATCTTCACGATCAATATTGCGACCGAGCGGTCGCATGGCAACTTCAAGAGTCTGCCATGGACCCTTTGAGTGGACTCATGGTGGTATGCACCGATGGATGCGACCAGAGCAAGTTCATGATGCCCCGTGACCCAGAGTTTCGCATCTCTGCTGCTTTGCTATTTGGCTCAATACATCAGAAAGCTTCAAGGACAGGTTCCTCCAGATTCATTTTTGTTGTGACAATCCGAGGAGCGGTGAGATGAGACCGCGACTGAAGGTGCACGGTCTTTGGGTGTTTGGGCTGAGCTTGCAAGTCTATGTCATGGACGAGCCTACCAAACATGATAGTGCTTGTGTGGTGGAGTGTTTGGCTCTGAGTCTCGAACGAGATCCTCGTCTGCAAGTCAGATGCATTCTCTCTCTGGGCTGTTCCAATCCTGTTGTGGCTTCGCGATCCTGGCTGTTGTTTAGGTTTCGAAGCTCTGCGAGGAGAGAGGGCATCCTTTTCCACATACACTTATTCTCTTCGTACCTTGGATAGCATCAGGAGCAGCAGCAAAGGAAGATTGACCAAATGCATTATCTGAGTCAGGCAGATAACACCGTCCGGGAGGCCAAGAACCAGTATGTGTTACTGTACTTGGCCGCTCTCGTGGCCCAGTATCGGATGCGCTTCTCCTGTTTGGCAAACTTTCGCAAGAGTCACACCCATTGCCGTATAGGTCCCTCGGAGTCATTTTTCCTGCTGCGAGCATTGAACTGCAAGTCGGCTAAAAGGAGTCTCAGCTGAAGACTTGACGAACTGAGATCAACTCTGGGGATGTCTAGCCAGACGAATCGCCAACGAGAGCAAGTTGCTGAATCCAGATGACGTGTGCCACGTCTTGCTGTCAGAGCTACAGAAGGCAAGCATGCGTGCTTGGCTCGGGCCCAACACAGAAGTGCTCGTCGAGCGACTTGTGTGTGTGAGAGATTGGAGGAATCACCTCCCCACCATCGGTGTAGGCCTTGAAGGTGGGCTCTTGAAGGACTCCTCTTCCAACCACATGTTTTTCTTCATGCTGCGTCGAGGCTTGGATGCAGCACTTTCAATTAGCACTTTACATGTTCCTGCAGACTGCTCTTGCTGCTTGGAGTCGTCTCTGTGTGTTTGTGCTTGGACAGATCTTCCTTCTGCTCTGATGACCTCTGTGACAGAGGGGTCTTTTCGTGGCCCTCGTGATCCTTTGGATGTCGTTGTCCTCTTGAAGAAGCACATCTGCGATCCCATGCTTTCGCAGTCACCTCTGCTGGTTTTACCTCGGACAAAGGCCGACGGATGGGAAATTCTTCCTTCGACTAAGCGCCCGGGTTGCAAACATGCATGTGTCGACGAGATTTTGATGCTGTGGTAGCGAGTTGAGTCGGTCCTCCATTCTGTGACAACATGTGCTATGTGCAGGCGGGTGAACAATCACTCAGCGAAGAATCAGAAAGAGTGGCAAGAGCTGGCCCAGAAAGTCCTGAGCCATTACAATGAGCCTTATCGCAGAGCTGTTGATTACTTGGAGAAGCTGGCCAGAAACCAGTTCTGGCATGAAGCCGTTCTTCGCGACATGCCGTGGCACATTCGGCCACCGGCACCTCCGGTTCGTGCACAAGCAGGAAGGTTCCTGCACGAAGCTGTCGAAGCAGCTTTGGCCCCGGCACTTCCGCTGAAGGCCATTTTCAGCAGACGATGATTTGCTGTCTTTGACGAAGATTCCTTGGCCGATCCTCGGCTACTGTTGCCACGTCTCGCAGACGAAACAAAATGTGCTCCGATCGGCTTCCTGCTTTGTGCATAATTCTCTTGCAGACAATTGTAATAATGGCAGTTTGGACCAAAATGTTCTGGCCGGAGGCTTCTTCTGCGATATCAGAGCAGTCGGGAGCCAAGCTTTGCTGAGGAACATCGCTTTAAAAAGGAGTTTAGAGGCATTTCTGCTGCGGACGAATCTTATAATGTGTAACCCATGTGTCGTCTTGCAAGCTACAAGTCTCAATGTGGATGGGCCATTATAGGAAAAGACACGCATGCTTCTAGTTCTTCTCCCATTCAGTCCACGGCCCTCCTTACTCGTGCAGCATATTGAGAACCTGCCACGTCACTCCGGGTAGACATGCGAGAATGCATAGTGTGTCCGTCGGGCAGGAGATGAGCAAAGCTTCAAATCCCACAATATGGAGTCATTCTTGTCTGTCTGGCAAAATACTGATTGTGCACAACATCGACTTCTCACCGTTACTGTTTGCATTTCCCTGAACACTTTTGATACTCCGGCTTCCTGTCAGTTTTGTTGTGGCATGTCACGGACGAATTGCTTGCAGTGTGGGTCGGAACATACATCAAAGATATGTCTTTCTGATTCTTATTCATCATGCGACATAAGGTCATCGGCCATGATGACTCGGAGACTCTCATCGGCACGACGTGCCCCCAGTGTGCCCGCACGTTGCAAGTGCAGCTGTGCTTTGCCTGTCTGGCCAGCGAGTGTCCCGTGCCATGCCCGGTTTCCTTTGCAGCCACAGACAAAGGAAACGTCATCTCGATCATATTTTTTTCACCCGTGTAGTATCTTCGAGCCTGGGTTACATATGTCAGGCTGAAATGTCCTTCCATTGAATCGGCAACAAGTTATTGATTTCTTGGACTCGATAGTCGTTGTCGAATCACTCTTAATTGATTCGGGGATTGTGTTTGTGTCCGGTCTCACGTTTTGGAGCCTCAACCCTACAACAAAATAGCAGTGGTCCGTGTGTGCGGCTAGGCCCGAGAATCGTGCAACTAACATCCGGATACTTTCCTCTGATTCTGATTTAGCTGATACTACTTCGATGAAAATGAGACACAAAGTGTGACGGTGGACTAATCCGTGAAAATCAATGGGGTGTATTGTGGGACTTCGTGTGCAAATTCGTGTTTCCTAACTTGCCCGAACCCTACATGGATTTTGATTTGGTGTACGGAGGATTCGCATTCCCAAGGTTTGTGTGGGTCCTTGTGTTGTGTTGTTTGTTTGTGTGCGTGTGTGTGTGCGCGTGCCTGTGTGCCCGTCTACATACATGGCTGTTTGTGTGTGTGTGTGTGACTGTGTGGATGCACATGCTTGGGTGTCTTTGCCTTTAACTTTGTGTGTGTGTGTGTGTTTGTTTGTGTCTGTGTGTGTGTGTGTTTGTGGGTCTCTGAGTGTGCTTGTCTGTGTGCTTGCTTGTGTGGGCGTGGGTTGATTGTTTATGTGATTGAGATGGAGGAGGGACGGGGCGGGATGGGCTCCGAGATCGGTTGACCCCAAGAATCAATGCACTCTCCGCCGGGGAGTGCATTGATTCCGGCTGTTTCAGTGAGACGGGCAGCGCTGCTCCAACCTAAGAGTGCATTGATCTTGTTCTCGGAAACCGAACATAGGATCAATGGCCTCTCCGGGGTCGAGTGCTGCAACATCCTGGGTTTACTGATCATGATGTTTATTTTATGTTGGAATCTCAACATAAAATAAACATCATGATCAGTAAACCCAGGATGTTGCAGCACTCGACCCCGGAGAGAACATTGAACATATGTTCGCTTTCCGAGAACAAGATCAATGCACTCTTAGGTTGGAGCAGCGCTGCCCGTCTCACTGAAACAGCCGGAATCAATGCACTCCCCGGCGGAGAGTGCATTGATTCTTGGGGTCACAAGAGCCCCGGACTCCGCCTCCGCTCCTCCCGGCTTGGAGTTCGGAAACACCAATAATCAATGCACTCCCCGCCGGAGAGTGCATTGATTTTCCGGTTCCGACGGCGGAGAGTGCATTGATTTCCCGCCGGAGAGTGCATTGATTTTCCGGTTCCGACGGCGGAGAGTGCATTGATTTCCCGGCGGAGGGTGCATTGATTTTCCGGGGGCCGACGGCGGAGAGTGCATTGATTTTTCGATTCCGACGGCGGAGAGTGCATTGATTTCCCGGCGGAGGGTGCATTGATATTCCGGGGACCGACGGCGGAGAGTGCATTGATTTTTCGATTCCGACGGCGGAGAGTGCATTGATTTCCCGGCGGAGGGTGCATTGATTTTCCGGGGGCCGACGGCGGAGAGTGCATTGATTTTTGGATTCCGACGGCGGAGAGTGCATTGATTTCCTGGCGGAGGGTGCATTGATTTTCCGGGGGCCGACGGCGGAGAGTGCATTGATTTCCCGGCGGAGGGTGCATCGATGTTCCGGGGGCCGACGGCGGAGAGTGCATTGATTTCCGGACGGAGAGTGCATTGATTTTTCGATTCCGACGGCGGAGAGTGCATTGATTTCCCGGCGGAGGGTGCATTGATTTTCCGGGCGCCGACGGCGGAGAGTGCATTGATTTTTGGATTCCGACGGCGGAGAGTGCATTGATTTCCCGGCGGAGGGTGCATTGATTATCCGGGTACCGACGGCGGAGAGTGCATTGATTTCCTCTGTCCGAGACTTGGGATTGTTTGTTCGTTCTCTTATTATACCCGTCCAGGCTCAACAACTTGCTCCGTTTATACATTTTCTATGTTCAACAGCAGCCAAAAGCCGGTACTGGATGTATGTCTATTGCCGTGTCGACTTTCACTGAAATATCAAGAAACTCGCAGAGTGACTGGTCGTGCGATGTCGGCAGTCGCTCTGTGTTGAAAGCTCCGTGACATTTGTTGGGATTCTGGTTCTAGAACACCGCTGATTTTACCGTAGCTGTGTCTGCTATCCAGAACAGCTGGCTGACACTTCGCCCCTCGTTGTCCCGTCATGCTGAAGCAAGCTGAGACGAAGGCTTTGAAACCAGAGGTTGGATCCGACCCCGACTCCAAGGGGGCATTGGCTAGCCCTCAGGCCAAACGCAGTTGCACAGAGCTGGAGAAGAAGCTGAAGAAGTTTCCGTGTGGAGACTTGCAGCTGGCAAAGGACTGCAGCCTGCGAGCTCGAGACATGACATGATGATGGTCCTAGAGTTTTCTTGATTCCGATCCATTTCCCGTACAGGACATACTCGCCTACACCCAGCTTTTTCGGAATGAAGCTGCCATCCATGCCAATGCCCATCCGGCAGCGTTGGTGCTTGAGATCTTGGCCTCAGGGTCGGAGACAGATCGACGACTACACAGCAGCCAGTTGGAGGTTTGGTATGACGAGTATGCTAAGAAGCGCTCTGGCCTGGCTGCCTTCAAGAAGCTGGACGAAGTGGTGTCTTATCTTCATTAAGAAAAGTCACAGATGATTGAGGGCATGGCAGACTTGCTATCGGCAGGTGCTCCGACCCGAAGCTGCAGGATCCGTCATGCACGTTCCTCTGATTGCACTGGCGCCGCGATCTCAGCGAGTGCTGTTGGAGTTTGGGAAACAGGTTTCACACAAATAACCTTCTCCATGCAAGGTTCGACACACCAACGGACGGACCGCCTGTCATCGAAGACTGGCTCGGAACATTCGAGAGCATGTTCTTCGGCGGCATAGACTTGATCCGCGAGCCGCTTGACGTGAGCATCAAGTGTTCCGGATATGGAGGCGGGGTAGCATGGAGCGACATACAGGGGCACGACAAGTATCACAAGTAAGAGATGCGTCCGATAATTCCCCTCAGGTTTGACCGCTTCATGCTTCGACGTGATCAAGGGCTACACGCGAGCCAGCGTGATCATGACGGTTTTGATCGCGGCAAGTGAATTGGACACGAATTCCGACAGCTGGGACATGCTGAAGCCTCTCTTTCCTTTTCTGGACAAGGCTTGGATGGTGCCTGTCGTCGCAGCTTCGCAGCAAGAGTCACCGTAATACTGAGTCATCTCTGTGGTTGGTACAATACTACTGAGTTACACATATCCAGCCGCAGGTTTCTATGAATGTGGACAGCGTCAGCCAGAGTTTCCGCAATTTGATGCTCAGCTATCGTGGATCGGAACGACAAGCGCCGAACACTTTGCAGCTGGCTCTTCGTTTCAGCAAGGTCATGGACACACGCAATGAGCAGGGCAAGCACCCCAAGCACTGGTCCACCATGGAGCGCTTGAATTCTGTGATCGAAGAGTACAACTCAATGGACGGCTTGCAGATGAAGCACGCCATGGACGAAGACCGAATCAAGTCTGTGTACAACATCATTGCCGGCACTTCAGCCGAGCCTTGTCTTACTTATCGTTCTTACTTTAGGCAATCACCAGGTGACACGGCATGACGGCTCAACTCCCACAAGATAGTGTCAGGAAGCGAGGAACAAGATCGCCAAGCACCTCAACTACGCCAAATGGAAAGAGTCGGCTTTCTCCGTGGAACAGTTTAGGTGCTCCAGATGGCTCCTGGGGGCAAAGCCGAAGAACTGTCCTCTCGAGATTGTGAACTTGCTGACGGTGACAGAGCATTCACAGAGGCTGCACATCGACTTGGTTATCCACAGCTTCACAGTTGCCGGCAAGAAGTTGAGAGCCTCCTCCCGGGGCAAGATGAGGGCATCGGTGGATGACTTTGCCAAGATGGCTGACTTTGCCTGTGTGTACTCCAGAGTGTTGGAGAAAGCACGTCTGCTGAGTTCGTGGGACGACAAGAAGGAGCAGAGTGTGATGAAGTGTTTCATGAGCCGGCCACGAGAATGCACATTAAACGCGTTCTAAGCTAGTTTGCAGCCTTCTGTTGCTAAGGGATTACTGGTCGGAAATCGAAGCTACGATCACGGCGAAACTGCCGACCTTCAAAGTCGAACATCTCGCGATATGGTCTGAGTTCATCGAGCCGAAGACGACGTCTGTGAAGCTGGACCCCCAGGACGAGGTGACGTTGCAGGAGCGTGCCGACACTGTTCGTGCAGCCAAGTTTAGGGAGATCAGAGCCAAAGTGGCCGAAGACTCGCACAGAATGACGGCCTTCAACACCAAGACGCAGCAGCGAGACATTCGGACGCATGTTGTCGAAGTGATGCACATGAAAAGCCAGAATGCCATCGGGGCCAAGCCCCTTGCCAGCTGTCAGGTTTCATCGGTCAACAGTTGTGTCACTGGCAAAGTAAACAGTGACACATGTCATGTCGTCTCTTCTGTGCTAAGGCTCGCTGAGGAGCACATGGACAAATGCGCTTCTGTTCTGATGTGCTCGTTGGATGAGTTCGCAAAGCGTGTGCACTATGGCTTCACAGCAGCAGCATCCCTGCTGGAGGCCGAAAAGGGTGAGTAAACCTCCAATCCTAAATCCAGGTTTTGATTGATTGAGAAGGAAAAGCTCAGGTTTCCAAGACGGAGCTGCACGTCGTCGTGTGGTGCGATTGCACCAAACTGGGAATCATGCAACAGAGTGAGATCAATGCCTTGGCCGAGAATGCTGAGAGCTTGCTGCGGCAGAACCCCGAGAGTCCGGAGCTCGGACTGAGAGCCATGCAGCAGTCAGATATTACAGCTTGTCTTCCCGCAATGTGCTTTGCGCATCCTGCTGCAGGATCGGTTCTCGTGTTGCTCCCCCCTTTGATGGGTGGATCAACCTGTGCTGTGAGCATGCGCAGCGACATCAGGTGTTCGGCTTGAGATTTAGTGCACACTGATTGTGTGAGTGCCGAGCTGACAATGACGACTGTGCTACATAGCTGCTACATGCAGGAAGCTGGAGGACAAGTTTCTCGACAACAACATCGAACTGAAACCTTTCTTTCTGAATATGGACATCTCAAATGTCCATGGCAACAGAGACATTCCTTCCTCGTTCGTGTGCTACCTGGGCCTGCTTGACAGCACCCTGCCCACAAAAGGAACTTTGCATCGAGCATCGCGGAGTGCAAGCACGGGAGCGGACAAGGAGAATATCAACGTGCTGCCTGGCCTGAGTGTGAATGAGGACATTTGACATGCTTGCTTATATGTCTTAGATTGGCAGATTTATACACTTCCGTTTCGGCTGAGGTTCTGCAAGAAAGAGTTGTGGTGCAAACAAGCATTGCAGCAAAGTCAGTATCCAGCTGCGCTGGAGGAGAGGGACTTCATTGTCCCGGGGGGCAATCTCTGGTCCAGCAACGAGGGTCGACGGAACCTTACAGACCAGCAAGAGCTGGCCCAATGGCTCGGTGGACTGTCTGTTCCCACTCAGATTTTGAGCAGTCTGTTGAGCGACTCGAACAAAGCAGTGATTTTCAACCCGACCGCCTACGACGGCACCTTGGAGAAAGCGGCCATTAAGCTCGGCTACCCTGTCTTCTCGACTGCCTCGACCACAGGCCCTTGGAAGTGTGCCAAGGACATGGTGCGGGATTTCCTCATGGAGGCTTGGTTGGATGCTGTTCTGTTCCAATGCTCCAGCCCTGTTATTGATCCCACAAGTCTTCTCGTTGTAGGCATGGAAGACGAAGACTGAGCCCATGGACAAGGTGTCGCCGATGTTCAAGAGGCAGCCCGCAGCCGAGGACCTTCCGGCTGAGGTCTCAAGCCCCTCTTTGACGATTTGCAACATGGCGGATGGAAGATTGAGTATCCCGCGGGAGATTCGGAATGAGTTCTTGGGATGTGCAGTTCATGGACCGGAATGGAGGGAGCTACTGAGCAAGTTCGACAGAGAGTGGTCGTCCCCGACGGAAACGGTTGCGGCTCGGCCAAGACGTGCTTGACATTGTGTGATTGAAAAGCCTTTCAATTGATAGTGATGTGGTTCAGTTTCATGGTTGTATGTCCTGAGGCTACTGCTCCTAATCCTCCAGCTCCTGTCGCTGGCGGCGATGCCAGTACA